TTTCCTTTCAGGTAAGTAGGACAAACAGTGAAAGATTTGTCCTTCATTCCCTTTATCTCTTTTTTTTTTTAATGTATGGCACGTGTTACTTATACTAATTAAGGCTTGCCATATCTGTCTCTTTTTAAATGTATTTTTACAAGTATTAACATTTCTACAGTGTTCACAATGTCTCATTAATATAATCTTTAGTTTAAAAGAATTTTTTATGAACTAGCGTTCTTAATTCCTTCCAACATGTAAGGTAACAAATCTTTAAGATAACTAAGCCTTTGCTAGCTCTGATACATTAACATATAATTGATAATTTAAGCTAATATAAAAGCTCATTATTTTTTCATCATCTTCCTGAAGAATAAGTTATAAATCTGTGAATAACAGTCTATTAAATTAACACTTCAAAGTTAGAAAGAAATGGAAAATTCTATCATGTTAAAATCTGCAATTATCCTGAGTTCCTAAGTTTATCATAAACGTGTATGAACTGCTCACATACCCACACACAACATACAATTCATTACACTAGCTTTGAGAGGTAACTGAATTTCTATTTTTTTTTTTTTCCTTAACAGCTCGAAGGAAAACTAATCAAGACTAAAGTAGCAGATCTTCAATTTTATTGAATCTATACTTTTATGGGAGTGGGGTGGGAATCAGAACATTCAATCAATATACAGTTAAGTACACATTGCTTATATATTACAATACTATTGTATTATGTGCACCGTGTATTGCAAATAAAAGTACTCCAAAATATAAAATGAAAAAGGAGGAACTATAGATAGACTGTAGTCTACACTGCTATTATATTTTACAGTTCATAATATGGCTGAAGAGTAAGTGTACCATTAAGTCGGGTGTGATTCATAGTGACCCTTTGAACAACAGATCTGAATCCTGCAATCACTGTGCTAATACACCCGGGTGAGGGTCTTCCTCTCCTTTGCCGCCCCTTCATCTTTCCAAGAATGACATCTTGGGCTACTTTATGAATTTTTGTCCACTGGCAGTTTGGTTCTCTCTAGCTCGGCAGCAACAGTAGTGCCTATGTAAAGGGCTTAGTGTTCAATTGGGAGGCAATCCCAGGAGATACCAAGAAAAAGCAGGGAGATGAAAGATGGAAAAGGCCAACAGCTGGCATGTTAATGTTGTAAGTTGTGAATAAATCTTGCCAAGACCAAGCAGGAGCCCCTGGTTCTGGAAACTGCAGATGAGCCAGAAGTGATCCAGGGTCCATGGGTGGGGGAACGCACAGCTTTTATGACATCTACTATGCCTGCATTAGGATTATTATGACCAATCTTGGGTTTCTTTGCAGGACTCTTTTTAACCCTTTAAGAACCTTTTGTAGATTGGCAGCATGATCTCCTAGGAGGTAAGATTAGGAGAGGCCCTGAGAATCTCCTGCCTGCGAACTGGGAGGAATTGGAAGGGGATGTGCTTCTCCAGGTTTCGCACTTGAAATTGCATGGATATGAGTTATTTGAGTCTTGTCTAATTGGGAGTGTTGAGGTAATTTTTTTGTTTTATTTTCCTCCTCCCCATTCTTCAAGAAACAAAAAGAAGGTTAAAAAAAATTCCTTTTCCTGCCCTTTCTCAAATTTCATTAAAACAGATCAACAGTAAACTGGAGCAAAGCCTTAGCTAGACTGAAAAGAAACCCAACCAACCCAACACAAAGAAACCCACCAAACAAACCACCTTAAGTTAGGTAAGTTTACAGTTATTATTTTAATGAGACATGACATACATTAATGGACAGACCCATGAAAATATCATCATCAGTGCATTTCACTTTCACTTCATGTATGTGGGTGACATGACAATCTGACACACGTGCTGAATGGGAGCATTGTGGTCAATCTGAACAACAGTGCCCATCAACAAACGAATGGCTAGAGAAGGTGTGGTATATTCGCACAATGGAATACTATCTTGCATTAAAAAACAAGGAACTCATGCAATATTATTCAAAATGGTTGACTCTGGAGAACATTATGCTGAGTGAAATATCCCAGTCACA